TACTAATTTTAGCATCAGTTTACACGCTTAAGCCCTGCTGGTAAAAAATAAATCACTGTCACTGGGAAAAGTGGGCTTTTTGGGGACAAATCTACTGTTTTGAAAAGTATTCTTTTCTTTGAGTACATGTTAGTCACTCTTCATCTCCCACTAATTAATCCTAGTTAAGCCTCTACAATCTTAAAAATCAAATAGGTTTCTTCACCCACACAATAACTCTTCAAAAGTTTTAAAACACTTGCTACACCTCTGCAAATCTCCTCTGCTAAACACATTATGAGATGGCTCGAAGTATGTGCTCCTTGCTGTAGGATCCGGTTATGTCTCATTTTCTCTGCCTTTAATAATTATCTCATCATGTGTAATGGAAGTACTTTGAACATCCAGTTCCTACGTCATCTCTGACAGAAAAATAGAAGAAAAATACCAGTTGTTTTTCTCAACCTAGTATAGCTCATAATTTAGTCATTTTCACAGTTGTGAGATCATTTCATAGAGGAAGGCGATGTGATACGGTGGAAAGAACACATATTTTTTTAGTCAAAAATTTTAGTTGGAATTCCACTTTTGAAATTTTTTGCCTAAGTTGATCATAAGCAAGTTACTAAATTTTAAATCTTAGTTTCTTTATTTAAAAAAAATCTCAGCTTCTTTCATACTTAATTGAGAATAATCATGCCAACTCTCTAAAAGTATTGCAGAAAATGAATGAGGTCATATGTAGACACAACTGAAATAGAATCTTGCATTTCAAAATTTGAAATGGTCAAGAAACCGTATTTGCCCCATTCTCTGTGTCCCATAATAATGGTCATAATCAATGATCTTCTTGGAAAAATGGAATGAAGGTTGTTGGACAGCTATTCAAATAAAGACTCTGGGCAGAAATGTATGGTCATTAGGTTTGCTTACAAAGATTAAAAAATGCCTTTGAACATTTTATAAAAATTCTCAATTTGAAACCAAAAAAAATGAAAATAAATTTGAGATTGATCTCAGTTAATCAGAAAATAAAACTTTGTCTTATAAATGTTTGGTTTTTTTGCCAGTCATCTGTTGTCTACCACTCATCTATCAATTTACCATACTGTGTTCTCTTACGTATTGCTGTGATGATAGAAGCTATGCCACCAGTATTTCAAATAGCAGCAGGGCCACCCATGGTGGGAAGGTTCCAGCAAATCATCCATACTAAGATACACTAAGAATCAGAGCTCCTGAAATAATTAAAAAAAAAAAACCCAAACAATCACAAACTCATTGTCATAGACTTATAACTTATTCAGAGATAACCCTCCAGAGCATTTTCAGAGGCTGTACATCACACCAGAAGAAATTACCCACCTTTCTCCCACGGAGCCTGTGACGGACCAAAGAGGTGTCACATCTTTGCCCTTGAAAAACTTACAAGAGCAAAGAAGTGTTGTTAGTGCCAGAAGATGAGTCCATGTGGATGAAAGACTCTCAAAATGTGACTGGGAAAGAGGTACTTCCTCAAATTAGATTTTTGTTGTTGTTAAGACCCATTGAGTCAAATATTACTCATGGTGAGCCTGTGAACAACAAATAAAAATCTTTCCCTATCTTGAACCATCCTCATGACTTCTGATATGCTCCAGTCAATTGTTATGGTCATTGTATCAATACATCTTGTTGAAAGTCTTCCTTTCTCTGAACCTGCCTTTCCTAGTGTGATGTTATTTCCTGACAACTTGCCCAAAATATATGAAATGAAGTTTCATAAATCTTGCCTCTAAGGAGCACCAATAAAGACTTGTTTGCCCTTTTGGCAATTCATTGTTAAAGTTGTAACAATTGATTACAAAGGCATCAACTTATCTTTGAGTGTCCCTTATTCATATTCGACTTTCAGATACATGGAAATTGATTGAAAAGACTATGGCTTCTTTTAATTGAGATTTTAATTAAGCTTTTAATGAAAGTTTATAAAGAACATAGATTTCCATTCATTCATTACTGCACACTTACCTCCCTGCCCCCGACCCAGTTCACTTTTTCCTTGGGAAAAAAAGTTTTTCATTGTGATATAGCCCCGCCTCTGCCCGCTCCCCACTTCCCAACCACTTTACAATGCAGCTCTTATTCTAGACTCTTGTCATGCCAATAACACCTAATCTTATATTCCTTTTTATACAGTTCTCTCTCCCCCATCTGTTTCAATGCCTTGTAGATTATTGATCCCCTCCTGTCTTAGTTTTCTTAGTTATGAACTCACTTCACAAAAAAAAGACATTCAGATGGCAAACAAACACATGAAGAAATGTTCAAAATCCCTAAAACCAAAACAACTGTGAGATATCATCTCACCCCAGTAAAAATTGCAAAATTTTACACAGCAGCTAACAACAAATGTTGGCGAGGTTGTGGAGAAACTGAAACCCTTATTCACTGTTGGATGAAGTGTAAAATTGTGCAACACTATGGAAGTCAGTATGGCGCTTTCTCAAAAAGTTGGAAATAGAAATACCATTTAACCCAGTAATTCCACTACGGGCAATATACCCTAAAGAAACCAGAACTGTCACCCAAGCGGATAAATACACACCCCTGTTTATTGCTGCTTTGTTCACAATAGCAAAGAGTTGGAAACAACCCAACTACCCATCAACAAACAAATGGATAGAGAACCAGTGGTATATTGATACAATGAAATATTATACTCCATTGAAAAACAAAGAACTCATGTAATATTATCCAAAATGGTTGACCATGGAGGACATTATGCTGAGTGAAATATCTTAGTCACAAAGGGACAAATACAGCATAATAACACTGTTATAAAGCAGTACTGACATCAGGGTTAGAGCAAAACTAAGAAAATGGGGGATAATGTACACTGCATTGAAACAGATGAGGGAGAGAACTGAAAGGAATATATGATTAGATATTATTTTTCATGTCAAGAGTCCAGAATGAGAGCCGCATGGTGGAATGGACTGGGGGAGGGGGGATTGTATAACAAAGAAATATTTATTTTTTTTTTTTACTTTTCAAAGAGAAAAGCAAACTGGGGGAAAGGTGGGAGAGGAGGAAAATGTGCAACAATGAAAGAATGGAAATCCAAAGTCTATAAATTTTCATTTAAAATAAACTTTCATCCAATGAAGGACTTTTATTTGCTAATGTAGCAAGACTCAAAATGAGAAGAAATAGCTGCAAATAGTAATTAATATTTGGAATATGCAAAGTATAAGATATGAATCTAGGGAAATGTGAAAAAAGAAATTGAATGCATAAAGATTATTACCCAGGCATTGATGAGCTGTTTTGGACTATTTTTTGCTGGCTACTTTGAATGACACAATTATAGAATCTATCCACTCCCTAAACACCATGTCTCCAGAAACTCTACGAACTTTGATTAATGTCACTAGTTATAGAAAGGCTTAAAGGCCTTTTGTTCATAGGGTTGCTATGAGTTGTTCTTGACTTGAAGGCAATCAACAACAGCAACCATGTTAGAAATGACATATTGAAGAGAAATGGTGCTGCATTCATTGCCAATATAACACTTCAAGATTTATCTTGAAGTATAATTATGTCAGTGACAGGACAATATGATATACATAAAAGGAGGATCTGTTAATATAAATATTATTGACATATGCAGAGCAACCACTAAAGTCTAAGGTGGACAAATCGAGGATTATACCCACTTCTGTTTTCTGATATGGATGGGACATGCAACCAAGATTCACTAATAACTAGTGACTTGAATGAGACCTATGGAAGCAGAAAAAAAGGACTGGGAGTTGGAAAATAATGGCTTTAGTGACAGAAACAAAGCTGGAGATTCCATGATAGAATTTTTTATAATAAATGATTTATTCTTTGAAACTAACTTTTTAAAAAAATAAAATATGTGTGTGTTTATCATCTGAATGTCTTCTTTGGTGATGTATCTGTTCATATCCTGTGCTCGTTTTGCAATTGGATTGTTTATCTTGCTGTGGTGCTCGAGGATTCTATAAATTCTAGATATAAATCCCTTACTGACATGTCATTACCAAATATTCTTTCCCAGTCTTTGTCTCTCATTTTTGCCCTATTGGAGAAGGTTTTTGATGTGCATAGGGATTTTATTCTTAGAAGGTCACATTCATCTATTTTATCCTCTCCTGGTTGTAGGTTTTTCAGAATGCTTGGAAGACTGTTCATGTTGTGGATTAGGGCTTCTAAACATGATCAAAATCCCTAGCTCTAAGAAAGATGAAAATTAAAACAACTATGAGATATCATTTCACCCTGGTAAAAATAGTAAAATTCAACAGAGCTTCAAACAATAAATGCTGGCAAGGTTGTGAAGAAACTGGAACTCTTATCCATTGTTGGCGGGAGTGTAAAATTGTGCAACCCCTCTGGAAGGTGATATGGTACTTTCTCAAAAAGTTAGAAATAGAGATATCATTTGACCTAGCAATTTCATTATTTAAAACCAGAACTGCCACCCAAGCAGATATATGCACACCCATGTTTACTGCAGCTATGTTCAAAATAGCAAAGAGTTGGAAACAACCCAAGTGCCCATCAACAAGTTGAATGGATAGAGAAGCTGTAGTATATTCTCACAATGGAATACTATGCAGCACTGAAAAACAAGGAACTCATGAAACATTATACAAAATGGGTGACCCTGGTGGACATTATGTTGAATGAAACATTTCAGTCACAAAAGGACAAATATAGCATAATGCCACTGTTATAAAACAGGACTGACATTGGGGTTGGGGAATATACTAAGGAAGGAGAGGATGTTGTTGTTGTTGTTATGTGCCATCGAGTCGTTTGCGACTCATAGCGACCCTATGTACAACAGCCCTAAATGTATATACTGCATTAAAACAGATGAGGGAGAGAACTGCTTAAACAGAATATATGATTAGGTATTATTTGCATGACAACAGAGCTTCATAGTAAAGTGGACTGGGGATAGAGGGTGTGTGTGAATTTTATAACAATAAAAGAATTTTCTTGGCTCAGCGCAGCTGGGCACTAAGATGGTGGAAGCGTGAGTTGCATGTTGTGTGAGGATCCCAGGGCCAGGATCCGCCTCTCGGCCCCACCATGGCCGTCACTATCACGCTCAAAACACTGCAGCAGCAGACCTTCAAGATTCGAATGGAGCCTGACAAGACGGTGAAGGTACTAAAGGAGAAGATTGAAGCAGAGAAGGGCCGAGATGCCTTTCCCGTGGCTGGACAGAAGCTCATTTATACTGGCAAGATCCTGAGTGATGACGTTCCTATCAGGAATTATCGAATAGATGAGAAGAACTTTGTGGTTGTCATGGTGACCAAGGCCAAAGCTGGCTCGGGTACCTCAGCCCCCCCCCCCAAGAGACCTCACCTACTGCTGCCCCGCAGTCTTCTACATCCTTCCCACCAGCCCCTCCTGCCTCAAGCATGTCGCATCCTCCACCTGCTGACAGAGAAGACAAGAACCCGTCCGAAGAATCAGTCCCCACGATGTCCCCAGAGTCTTTGTCAGGCTCTGTTCCCTCTTCAGGTAGCAGCGACAGAGAGGAAGATGCGGCCTCCACACTAGTGACTGGCTCTGAGTATGAAACGATGCTGACAGAGATCATGTCTATGGGCTACGAGCGGGAGCGGGTTGTGGCTGCCCTGCGAGCTAGCTACAACAACCCTCACCGCGCTGTGGAGTATCTTCTCACGGGAATTCCTGGGAGTCCTGAGCCAGAGCAAGGCTCAGTCCAGGAGAGCCAGGTATCTGAGCAGCTGGCCACAGAATCAGGAGAGAACCCTTTGGAGTGTTTGCGGGGCCAGCCCCAGTTCCAGAACATGCGGCAAAGTGATTCAGCAGAACCCAGCTTTGCTGCCTGCTCTGCTCCAGCAGCTGGGACAGGAGAACCCCCAGCTCTTACAGCATTTAGCCGGCACCAGGAGCAGTTCATCCAGATGTTGAAT